ACCTGAAGTTGTAGTTCAATACAGACTAGGATTGCCACTACGATCTCTGATATGACATCCACACTGCTGCTTTGGGAATTGACTGATGCAAATATTAACCTGATACAAAATCAACATGAGTCATTAGGGCTGGGCGATATAGAAAAAAAGCTTATCAATAAAAAAAAATGCATATTGATCGATAATTATTGAAAAGATTTGAAACCATATTTTATGTGCAGCTCTGCCTGGACTTTTTATAATATTGCTAAATGATTTAATTTTAATAAAAAAAACAAACACAGACTTCGAATTAAATCTTTATTTAACCAACTTTTTTAACCATAACAGAATTGTTTTAAAGAAAAATAACTTAAGAGACCTGAGTTATGTTATTAAATACTGACAAAGAATAAACTAAAGTGACCAGAAAAGTGACCAAAATAAATATAACAAATATATAAATGCCCCCCCACCGCCGCCGCCCCCGGTTCCTGCTTTAACCTGAGGTATTACTTTGAAGTTTCTGGCCCCTCAGCATTTTAATCTCAATTGTTAGAACTACGTGGGAAACTGCCCAGAACTGAAAATATATATATATTTTCCGAAGATTCCTCGGAGGAAAGCCGCGCCGGGGCCTACACAGCTCGTACTCCTGCGGGTGTGAGCGGCTGAGATGATAAAAAAAAAAAAAAGTTGGTTGTGTTATCAGACTTTGTTTTCACTGGTTCCCGACACATTTTCCAGATGACTGTGGTTTGTTTTTGGTCCGACTTGCCATGACCGAAATACTGCCAGACTGCCGAACTACAAAAACCTTTCTTTGGAACAATTTCCTCCGCCTCTCCTTGCTGCACATCTTCATGTGCTCTGTGTTGTGGTTTGAGAGGGCGGCGCTTGGTGACGGCGTGCCTGGGTCCGCGATTGTGATTGGTTGGGAGGAAGCAGTGACTAGCATAAACATACATGCTAGGCTACAATGAGAAGGAAGGAAAACTGCGTTTCTTTTTTATCAAACTTTTATCGACCCTCTTTTTTTCTATTGCGCCACACGTCTATCGATCGATATATATCGTTATTGAATTATCGCCCAGCCCTATGAGTCATACATACTTTTAATTCTTATCTTATAACGTGAAATGTTAGAAAAGGTTCGACGAAGTGATACTGATCAAACAAACAATAATTAACACTAATATATATATGAGAAGAAGTGACCCTGTTAAAACTGCGGTTCAGGAGAGCAAATGAACAAATAACGAAGCTTCAGCAAACCTGCAAAGTCATCATGCACTTCTCATTGAGCCAGACTTTGGCTGTTGTGTCCCAGGAGCCACTTAAAAGGGTTCCAAATTTCCCAGAGGACAAAGTGCATACTGAAAAAAAAAATGAAAAAAGCATTACCAGGTTAATTCAGATGCACTGGTGTCATGGTTAATTGCAAACGCATTATCAAGAACTTGCCAGTATTTTTGTGACCCTGCAGGGTGTAGAGGGGCTGTGGCTTGTCCAGAGTAAAAACACAAATGTTGTTATCATTCCCACCAGTGGCAATCAGGCCCCTGGGATATGTATCACTGGGCGCAATGACGCATACGCAGGATACAAAATTTGAGTGTCCAGTCATACAATGCATCTCAGTGAATCCGTTATCTGGGCTGTTGAGCAGAGAAGACAGAAAGCAAAGATGTAGTTAGTAAATCCGATTACAGGACTATTAGCACCAACAATAAAAAAAAACACAAATCACATAATCCTCATGAAAACATATGCATTCTAGATAATCTGAACAAGCACTTCTCTAGAGGTTGACCAATGGATCTGTCGAACTAAAACATTAAGAGGGATTTGCACATTTTCTTTCATGATAGGGCAATAAACACGGACAACAAACTGTGCAAAAAATGGGAGACCATTACACTGAGCACACTGAAACACATTTTAGCATGTGGAGTTCGAATTAAAGACTGCTTTTCTGCTGTGTTCTTTGGCCTTCAAGGTGCCGTTTGTCACCAATGTTCTCTAACGGATCTCTGGGGCCTCCACAGGATTCATACTGAGAGTCAGTTAAACACCAGTGGGCTCAAATTAATAGTCATGTATAGGGCTGGGTAAAAAAAAAATCTATTTAATCAATTTAGAGTTGATTCCTTTTTTTCCTTTTTGCAAAATCGATGTCTAGGAAGTGAGATTGATTAGTTTTATAGTGAAGTGCATTACGTTCACATTCCAATGAGCAGGAAAGATGCACTCAAAATACTTCAAGCCAGACAGCTGCAAATATAGCCAATAGGTTGATTGAAGACATTAACAAATGGAGGCTGACCAGCAAACACCCTGTAGTTGTTACAGACAACGCTGCAAATATGGTTTGCAAAGTGGAGATAATGCAGCTCATGCATGTCTGCTGTGTCACGTCTGTTTGCTCAAGTGAGGCGTTTTCACTTTTCAAAATCAAGTTTGCACTTTTGAGACAGTTTTGTTCACATCTCACGTTTAAACTGTCTGATTTACAAGTTTTCACTTTGTGTTTAATATGACAGGAAAAAATAAAATACATGAGTATTTTGAAACACAGTTGAACCACTTTCATTATTGTAAAAACAGATGGAATCGAAAATAAACGACTTAAAACTGTATGAATCAAAATCGAATCGATTCAGGACTTTGGCGAAAATACCCAGCCCTAGTCATGTAAGGTCCGAAGGCATTTGGTTCCACAGATTTCTGTATTTTTAAGCAAATCAAAGAGAGGGGGGGTGAATATAGATACAAGCCACACTTAAGACTTTCAGATACATGAAATAAAGAAAACTGTGTTTAAATTCTCATTTACTTTACAATACGAGCCACTTTGTTTGGGTCCATCACACATTTTTGATGCAATTTTAATGAATATTAAAGGTATCATAATTCTTTATACACTGATCAAAACATAAATGCAGCAATTTTTTGTTGCTACAATTTCACAAAAGTCAATAGAAAAGTCTGAAGACTTCTATGTACACAGCGGCCGCATTTCCCTTAAATATCATCTAAATCCGCGTTAACGAGCACTTTATAGAGATAAGGCAGTGATCTCCTAGGTGTGGCATATCAATATGCTGATTAGACAGTAAGATTATTGCACAGATGTGCTTTAAAGCTGCCAACTATAAAAGGACACTAAAAATGTGGATTTAATAGGCTATGTACAAAAAAGGAGAGTCCCATTTCTTTAAATAAATTAAATGTTTGGAACAACAAATGTTTTTTGTTTTTAATTTGTAAATAATGTATAGCCGTTAAATATTTAATCACCTTATCCTAAAAGTATAACCTCGTATCATCCAAATTTTGTTTGTAATAAATTAGGAAACAAATGTCTATAAGATTGGAAACAAAAAAAATCGGATATTAGAGGTACGGAACCAAACTCTCGGAACTTTAAGTTTAGGGAGCCTTTACCCAGACTTATTTCTTTTTTTTTTTAATGCATATTAATAAGATAAGCAGGAAAAAAAAACACATTCTCCATTACTACTCTTTAAAGCTTGGAATCACCCAGGGAATCACCAAACTTCGCTATCGTTACTTAGAAACCAGACAGGTGCTGCGAATGAATGACAAAGCTAATTTGAACAACTGTTAGCCTCCGAGCTAACGGTTGTTCCAACAACGGTCTGATAAAATAGGGTGATGATGTGGATGCTTAAATAAGGCAATTATTTTAATGCAGTTTACAAGTCTCGAAACAATCCCTGACCCTACCATGACACGATAAGGGTCGTAAAGTGTTAACTTGGCAGTATAGTTAGTCAGGTGGAGGCTAAGTGCTAATGCTAGCTACCTGGAGTTCGGTACCCAAACCCTTCCGGTTCGGTCTCTGGACACGGACACGAAAGCTCCCTCTGGGAAAACCGCGGCTGCCAGTCCTCTTACGTCCATTTCATGGCCCGGGATGGAGCATCTGAGTTTAAAGGAGTTCGATGATGCCATATTCTTTTAAGCACAACAACAAGAAACGAAACCCAAACACCAACGTTTACAGCTAAGCGGTGTCGCTGTCAACATCCGCCGCCAATGATTCCGGAAGAGGAATTACGTCATGAAATACCAATTATTTGGCCTTTCAAAATAAAACAAATAAATTAATTTTATTTATTTTTACCACTTGAATTAACTATGGATACCTGTCATTTTAGTTTAGACTACAGGTTTCAAAGCAGTAGATGCTTTATTATTTGTATAAAATCTGCTAAATGTTTGTCTAGCTAATCTAAAAAATAATAATAATAAAAAAAAGGATTATATATATAGTGTCATTATGTTATTAGTTTTTCTTACAATTGACAAAACGGCTAAACAATTCAGATTTTTCTAGGAGGCTGTGGATTTTATAAAAACTCACCATGACAGGAGACAGCACTTCTCTGGACGTTTCAATTTGGAAGGCGTGATGGAAATTAAGTTTTTAAAGATATTCAATGGACTAAAATAAAAATAAATGAATAAGATAAGTAATAATAAAAGGAGAAAGTCCCTGTGGTTTCTCCTCTATGAATCCAGGATAAATTAGTTGCTCTGCACATCCTCTTCGAATGTGGTTGGTCTTTTCTTTGGCTGATCTTCTGAAAAATAAAATGCAGTGGTTCTTTTTCTTTTTGTGGACCTCCTATGGGTTTGATAGGGAAACCTGGAAGCTTTAAGAATTAAAATATTTGTGTTGGTTTAATTACTCCTAAATTCCAACGGGAGATTATTAAACTAGACTGAGTTGAGTTTTAATGTCTGTAATTTTTTAAGTTTGAGAAATTGTGAATATGGAGTGAGAGTGAGAAGACACTGAGATGGGCTGTAAATCACCCATACAAAGACGAAAAAGGTTACCAAGAAACAAAGACATCAAACAAAACAAAAATAAATGAAGAAATATATATACGGCTTAAAAAAATAAATACTACTTTTAAAATCACACGATACTTTTATTTTCCTAAATCCGAGTCACCGGAAGCAGTTTTATTTTTGCAGGTAACCAACTTCCTGTCCGAAACACCGAGGGTCGGAAGAGGAAGTAGACTCTACGTGCGCTCCTCAGGGCGACGTAAAAAAAAAAACCCAAACAAGTAAGTCGTATCTCGCTTTATGTAATAATATAATCAAAAATTAATGTATTTAATAATTTTTTTCTTAAAGCATCCTAACTGAATAAAAACAGTCTGGTGTTAGCTGATATTGCTGAGGCTGTATGGAGCCCAGCCCATCGCGGCTGTCAGGTGTTATCAGCATGAATGATGATGGAGCAGGCGAGGCTACAAGCCTGATTTACGGTTACAAATCCGGTTTATTCACATTTAACTCATGGTTGAGGTGTCATAAGGCTGTTATTCCAGGCCTCTGCTATGGTTTTTACATTATGCTGGATTTGTAACCCCCTCTTTGGCATCCCTTACAGCGACTCTTTTATTGGACGCCTGCCATTATTTATTTATTTATATTTATTTAGAAATAATAGATGAAGGTAACACGTCTGGTGGCCGCACAGCGGTTTATTAAATATTTTGAAGCCAATAGGTATAATAACATGTTATAAATGAGTGATGTCAGGGCTCTCCAACGTGTTACAGCTGGAAAAGTCTTTAAATTCAGAATAAATTAGTATATATATATATATGTATTCAAAATGTGGTAAATACTAGCTTTTAATTAGCTAGTTTTAATTAATGAATTTAATTAATTTTATTTAATTATTCTAAGAATCTCAAGGAAAAAGTCTTAAATATAATTTCTTTGTCTCTCGCTCTAAAACTGTAACTGGAGCGTGTAACAAAAGTAATTTCCCTCTGGGATTATTAAAGTATTTCTGATTCTGATATATGCCATCAGCCAATGGCGTAAATATCAGTCGCCGACTGATATTTACGCCGCCGACCTTTTAGGGGCCCTGTCATGATCGGTTTAAGGAATCACATGCAGAGAAACCACTCAGAGTACATGGGGAAAAGGTAAACAGGTTTATTTGATGTAATGTGTACAGGAGTAGGATCTGGAACTCAGAAGGCTGGTGAACTGGAACTGGAAGGTCTGAAGGGGAGACCACAGTGATCAGTTCAGGGACCATGGGAAATTTGACTGAGACCTGAATAAAGCTGGAGCGGGACTCACGTTTGAGGGGTTTCTTATCAATCCTTAAATCCAGTCTGTGTGGGATGATCCAGAGAAGAGGGAACTCGTTGGAAAGCGGACAGGTAGACATACGTTGGACCCAGAGGAGTAATGGCACGGACTGTCAATTGGATTTCCGATGGGGACTTGAACGGATCATGCAGAGGTTTTCCCCTGCTCAGTGTGTACTCAGTAATTCCTTCCAGGGGAAGAAGGTCCAGGTATCCAGTTTTCACAGGTAGGCTTCCTGCCGAAGAGCAAAGACAAAAACACATAAGACTCAGAGAAACAAAGCTAGGTTAGACTCTGCTAATCTCAACTTGGCTAGAGTACCCAATATTGGCAAACACTCTGGCATCGAGGTAGTGACAGCCCACTGCTCAAATACTCCTCCAGTAATAAACCAACGAGCCGCAGGTGTGCAGGGAGGCCCAACGAGGACAGGGCACCACCTGGTGGTGGAGAGAGAAGAAACACACAAACAACCCACACAAACTGGATTCCTAACAGGCCCTGGTTCCTACAGCCCGGCCCCCCCCCCCCCCCCCCCCACCCCCATTTAATTGTGGACTAGGATGTCTCTTTGCAGATGTAATGGTGTGAAAAGTTCGTCTTAAACCCACCCGATACCAGTTTGACTGACCGGACCGTATTTATACCGCAACACTTGCCAGATTTCAACAGTGAGCCGTTTAAACACGACACCAATAGCAAAGCAGACAGTGGTACTTTTAATTACTATGTTAATAACTGTGTATAGTTCATTAGACGGTTGGTAGAAAATACACTCCTATAGTATTTTTCAAACCGCAATAAAGATCTTAAAAAAATGATGTATTTGAGTATTTTATTTTTTACACTACGACTTGGAATTATGGGTAATCCAGAACGTAGATTAAAACCATAACTGTTACGTACAATGTGTTAGCGACGATGGATACCAAAAAGAGGTACTTAAGCGGATTCCAGAAAAGAAAAAGGAAAGAAGAGCTGCTGGAAGAACGGAAAAAACTACATAGAATAAACACGTTCTTTCAAAGAACCAGTGAACGTTGTTGTTGCAGTGAGTGAAGATTGCAACCAGGAGATGAATGGAGAGAGCGTGGGTGAGGAGGGGGGCTGTGAAACTCGAGCTAGCCCGATAAGACTCATTTTACAGCAGAATATACTAAAGAGTATCCATATATAGTGAAGGTGAAGAATGATGAAATGATGAAATGTGTATTTATGGTGCACATTTTGGGTTTGTCTACGGCAGCGGCGGTTGACGTTGGCCAATTAGCTGAATTGGATATCCGATAAATGAAGCCAATCCGGCATTCTGATCCTGTTAATCTTTGTTTTTATTGATATTCACAGCAATAGTGAAGCGATCTAGTGACTTCAGTGTGCAGAGCATTCACAGCAGCTAGTGATGGTTTATATCCATGTCAGGTTTTTACCTTTTTGAACCGTGTCTATGTCAATCATGATACTTTTACTCACTTGGCAGTGTATACGGTTCATTCTTTTAAAAGTAGTATTGGATCTATGTTGGGTGTCTGCCGATCAGTTTGGAAAAAACTGGATCGGTGCATCTACTTTTTAACCCACTTGAATTCCCCTCTCGATAAATTTTCAGACATTAAATCTTGGATCTCTTTGCAGCTTAAGTTCCCATTAGAAACCCCTGTATGGTCTTTCTCCAGCATATTCCCCTGAGCTTCTTCCACCTCTTCTACCAGGCTTAATTCCTCAAATCAGCTTTTATTCTATTTGTTTTTATTGCTTATTGGAATGTAAAAGGTTGTAGCTGTTGTTTAAAAAAAAGGTCCAGATACAGGTGTTTTTCATTGGAAAGAACTTTTTTTAGATTCGGCTTTGCAGTTTCTGTGCTTTGCATGTTAAACAATCTCACTGAAAGGTGCTACATGTCGATCAAATGGTGTCAATGACCCAGTGAGAACAAAGGTACGGTTGGGTGGGTCAGTGAAACTGGATTTATTCATGTGTTTATAAGCCTAAACCCTTTAACACGATAGTTAGAACCATTAGGAGGTGAGGAGTCCATAGAGAATCCTCTAAAACTGTTTTAGGTCTGATGTAATGAGTTATTATTGTTAGATTTTACAGCCCTCTCTACAGGGTTATTAATTGCTCTGGCTTGCATTTGTTTCCTGCAGACAGTGAGGATCCAGCGACCCGTAGCATCAGTAGCAATGAAGCTTCGACTTCACTTTGTAGTGGATCCCATGGGCTGGCTCTGCATCAGCATGGTGTTTGGGATCTGGCTCTACAACACCTTGTTCATCCCCAAACTGGTGCTGCTTCCTCACTACGATGAAGGCCACATCCCCTGGGCCTTAGTTGTTTGTAAGTATCACTGTTGATACTGTTTCTGTGAAAATGAGCAACGGTCCAAGAAACATCTCAGGCTCAGGAAGCCTTGTGTTTCTCTCTTTCCAAAGGTTATTACATAGCATCGGCTCTCTGCGTAGTGGCCCTGTTTAGAGCTTCCACTGCAGATCCCGGCCGTCTTCCTGTGGACCCACACATACCTCACTCTGGTAAGGAAAGCAGGAAAAAAGAAACTGTTGCTGCTTACTTTTGTCATCTTTAGCTGTAAAATCTTGTAGTCTATGATGAAATACCTGAAACTATGAATTATAGATTGCGCCGTCTGATGTTTGTTTGTGTTGCAGAAAGAGAACACTGGGAGTTGTGCAATAAGTGCAACTTAATGAGACCTAAAAGGTCACACCACTGCAGCCGCTGTGGTCACTGTGTGCGCAGGATGGACCACCACTGCCCCTGGTGAGTACACAGCTACTACCTTACTGAGACTTATCTACGTCCAGTGTTATTAATAGGAATAGGATGTACCGACCTTCTGTACTGGCAGACTGAAAGAGTTGCAGTGCTTTCTATATTTTAAAACCACTAATTTATATCTGTTTAGATAACAATATAGATCTAGACCACTTTCTTAAGTGGAATTCAGGATAAAAAACATTCATTTGTGCAATTTGAACAGTGCATGAGACAAAAAAGAAATAAATAAACATGTAATAACATCAAAGACAAGATGATTCAAGAGGAAAATTTGATTGGGAGATTGAGGACCAAAATTCATGATAATAAAAACACAGAAAGACACTCCCGGGGAGTATCTTGTGATTAAAACATTATCCCGGGGAGTGGCGGCCTGGTGGTTAGGGCATAGGGCTTGAAATTCTGAGGTTGTGAGTTCCAAACCCACTCCCACACATTGCCCCTCTGGATATCTGAGCAAGGCTGGAATCTTGCTGGAGAGGCACTCACTTTTGGGGGGTTCTTGGTTTATCCTTGGATCCAGTTTGTGGTGGTTTAATCCAGAGAAGAGTGAACTCGTTGGAGAGCGGACAGGCAGACATACGTTGGATCCAGAGGAGTAAAGGTGCCGACTGTCACTTGGTTCTCCAGGAGTGGACTTGAACGGATCATGTGGTTGTTTTCCCCTTGCTCAGTGAGACTCAGGAATTCCTTCCAGGGGTAGAAGGTCCAGGCTCATCCAGTAACACAGGAAGTCTTCCTGTGGATGAACAAAAACAAAAAACAAGTTCAGACTCAGAGAAACAATGCTAAGGTTAGACTCTGCTAATCTCAGTTTGGCTAGAGTACCCAATACTGGCAAACACTCTGGCGTCGAGGTGGTGACAGCCAGCTGCTCAAGTACTCCTCTGGTAATGAGCCGCAGGTAGGCATGGAGGGCCAACGAGGACAGGGCACCACCTGGTGGTGGAGAGAGGAAAACACAAATAACAACCCACACAAACTGGAACATTAATGACAATAAAAACACTGGAAAAATGGAAAAAAGATTACAGTTATCTTTAAAAAAAAACCCCAAAAAAACAAGGTAATCTGCATAGAATTTGAAAGTCGAATGGCTGTTGGTATAAAAGAATTTGCATGGCGGTTTGTTTTATAATATAGTAATATATTATGATATAGATATCTATTATACTTCACAAATACAAAAAAAACGAACCTATAAAAAAAACCTATGAATCACTGAATCGTTAACTGTGTGGAATTACTTTTTTATTTCGAACGCAGCTGCAGCTCCAGTATAAATCTACCAGTTCTGACTTTAAACAGACTGGGATTATTGCGCAATCTACAAGCATAACTCAAATGCAGTCAGACTGGGCTGTCTGGTCTTGTGAACAATTGTCTTATCTCATTTTGGTGTTAAACTTGATAGTAAAATTTTAACTCCTGGGTATGATTTGTTCTACACCCTTCTTTTGTAGCTCTGGCTGTATATTTGGTCTGAAGACCTTTGTAACTTCTAGCATGTTTTCTTCCAGGTTTCCTATTTATATAGTTTCACTTTTTGCTCCTCTGGCATCTGCCTGTACCTGCTTCTCCTGATAATCATAGTCTAACCCCATGACACCCAATTTAAAGGTCCAGGTTCCTTTTAAATTGGATCATGATAAAGAACAGAATCCTCATATATCAATATATGGAAAGATGATACTCAAGCTGGAAACTTTTTACTCGTTGAGATTGCGGACTGGCCGCCCTGACTCTTCGATGATGTCATCCAGTTAGACATCCATCCTGATATCAAGAAAATGTAATAAAAGATTAAATCCTTACTCCCGTTTCTCTTTCTTTCAGGATCAATAACTGTGTTGGAGAAGACAACCACTGGCTCTTCCTGCAGTTGTGTTTTTATGCTCAGGTCCTCAGCTTTTTCACATTGGTGCTGGACTTTTGCCAGTACTATTATTTCCAGCCGCTGACCAGGCTAGACCAGGTGAGATAGAGGGTCTGCTGTCTTGCTACAGATTTACTAAATTTGTGGTATGTCATTTATAATTTGCAGCAAAATATAATGAAGCAGAGCTAAACTGGAGTTGCTTATTGTATTTCCTGTTTTTTTTTTTGTCTTTTTGTTTCCAGGAAAGGTTTACAACGCGTCATGAACTGGCTCTGCTGCGAGTTTCTGCTGTCATGGGCGTGGTCATGTTTGGTGGCATGTCAAGCCTGTTTTATTCCCAGATGGCTGGCATCCTCTCTGTGAGTACTCCCACGGTCACTAACGGCCAAACTGCTGCTCCTCTGATGTCCGCTGTTAGTCTGTATTGAACTTGTTGTCATGCTGCTGAAGAGGTGTATATATAGAGACGTTTTGACCCCAACAAACACTTGTTTCTCAAGTTAACGTTTGTTTTTATCCTGAATTCCAGTGAAGAATAACTTGGGTTCTGTTCCAGTTTTGTTCTTCACAGATCTTGTGAAGAATCTTGTTCTTAATTTTATTGATCGTTAAAAATTCAGGAAAGCTGTTGTTTCCTTGTAGCCATTTTTTGTGTTAATTAAATGGCTTTTTCTCTCATCTTCCCTGTTTTGAAGGAGGCCTAAAAGAAATAGGATCCTGTTTTATTTTAAAGACGAATCAACTTTAAAAATCTAATTGTGTAAAGTAAAAGTTGTTAGATATATGGATTTTTTCAGTTTCCTTGAAAGGCTTTTTTTCATATCTATTCATAGAATTATCATCACAGATAGTATAAGATTGCTTCTCCAACAGAATAAAACAGCCAATTATGGCATGGTGGAGAGAAAGGAAGTGAAGTCTTCTATGTGACGACATGCATGTGGATATAAAATACTGTGGGAGACTAGAAACAGCAGCCTGCTCTTACATTGCAGCATATCAGCTGACATTACAGAATATTGTGGATACAAACCAATGACATGCTAATGCTAAATATCAAAGAAAAATGAAAACAAAATGTAACCTGGTCTTACAGATGGGTTTAATCATTTATTATCTTTTTTAATTTAATGTTTGCACGATACATCATAATTTTTGCAAAGCCAACCATCAAAACCTACATTTCAGCGCTCTATTGTTTTGAACGTCCACTATCTACTGTGCTGAGAACCAGCTGCTGTCATTCTAGGGCCTATTTCCTAGAGGTTTAATAAACTCAAATCCTCAACTCTGAATTGATCTAGCCTGAGGTTAGAACCTCGACAACGGCTGCTGTGAGTTAGTTTAATCAACTGTAAGTAGGTCCTCTCAGAGTTAAACAAGTGCGTAACAAGTATGAAAAGCCACCATGACGACCGGCAACAGGAAGTGCCTACTTCACCCCACTGGAACTAGAGTTTTTAATGCAAAAATGAAAAAACACATTCGAGAAAGTGTTTAAAAGACAGAGGAACAGCACAACAGCTGCAAAGGAGAGGGAGATGGTGTAGGAGAAGAGTGCTGCTCAAATTAATGCTCAGGTTTATATGAAGTGGCCGTTTTAGTAAAAGCACTCTTCTCTCTGTTGTTCCATTTGTAGATCACTAAAATAAGATTCTTTCTAGTCAAAATCACTCTCCTAGTTGGAGCTGTAGTAAAAAGTTTTTCTAAATGATAGTTTTTTCAGCAGAAAGTAAAAATTAAAAATGTACTTGTAAGGATTAAGTTTTTTATACCTAGAAATGTTTACACATTTTAAGCAGCAGTTTGAACTTTTATCAGCCTGACTGAATATTCATTTATGATATCTGAAACGTGTTTCTTTCTGATTAAAAGGAATACAAATTATGATCATTAACAATAGGAATGTGCAGAATGGTTATTTTGAAAAGGAGAAAATGTATTTTAGATATCAAAATACATATTCAGACAAACTAATAAATATCAAAACAGCCTGCTATAGGTGTTGTCATTACGAGGGGGAAACTAGTTTACTGGTTAAATGGTAGTGAATTAATGTATTAAATTTGAAGATGAAGAATAAAAATGTGGATGGACAGGTAGGTCCTGTTCATCGTTTCATCAGGCTCCTGTCTTGACTGTGCAGTCGATTTTATAATGCTGTTATCACACATCAATGTACTTTCACAGATATTAATTACTTATAAATAGCTGTTAAAGAAGCCATTGCTGCAAATGTGTTGACGGATGAGGTCGAGGATGTATGTGATGGAATGTGAGGCGAAACGGTAGCGCTAATAAAGATAACTGAATATCTTTATTATTATATTTAATTCTCTGAATGAATGCCGCTCGTTCTTTATTTGGATCCTTGTCAATAGGATGTGCTATGTTTTTATTTTTAACATTCACTAGGTCTAAACGGACCTGTTCAAGGATTTCCTTTTTATTGTTCACACAAAACTATGACAGAACTCTCCTGAGCAAATCAGGAAATAAAGCAACTTGATTGACTGTAAGAAGAGCGGAGACAGAGGACTTTAGTGAACAAAACCTGCTTCCCACCAGGTTACGTCTGGGGAGAATGTTACTATGGCAACAGAAACAGAGGTTGAGGAAACCCTCTTTGTGAACCGGAAAAAAACATCCATGTTTTCAGGTTTAGAAAATTCAGATTAATTTCTAGTAAACGTGCTTTTTGAAATGGACCCCAGAATCCAAAATGAGAAGGTTACAACTTGTTTGTGATACAAGATTATAAATGATCCATTTCTTTTTTTCTTCTTTTTCACAGGACATGACCACCATTGAAAAAATGTCTCAGTTCTCCAGTGAAACGTGAGTTTTATTCTGTCTGACTGATTTTCGCTGCTGGATAATGGTGCAATTTAAAATAAGCTCCTCTTAAGAGCCTTAATGACCTTTAAACCACCACTATTTATTACCTCCACATTTAGGTTTATTTGAAGCATCCTTAATAAATACAGGATTTATTTATTACGACAGTTTAACTGGAGTAGCATTTTCTTGTAGTTTTCTATTATTAAATGAAAAAATTGCAAAAATGTATTTGAAGTAATGACTATGACAGCTGAAATATTTGCACTTAAGGCTTTTTTTTTGGTCTTTGAGGCTTTCGGCCAGTTATCAACTCCAGCATCATTAGCCTGCTGTATTTTCCATTCTGTAGTAGATAGTGCACAACATGGCAAAGTCAGCCTCACCTTCTTTAGCATGTAACAATGTAATTGTTGTTTATGTTTTGTGACGCCCTCAAACTTATGCTGCCCTGGGATGCCGCCCATGGAGCTGTGTTCCTCCAAAGGAGGGTTGAAATTGTTAATATGTATGCAATTATATATTTTTTCTACCTGTTTTTTTTTCTGTTCAGATATGGAACCAAAAGATCGTGGCAGTGGGCGCTCGCTGAAGTTTGTGGCACACGCTGGAAACTTCTATGGCTCCTTCCACTGCGCAGCAGACAGCCTCTGCAGGCGGGCCACCATTACCGCAGCCATGTATAGCCCTGCCACACTACATTTCCTCTGCTGCCTACACTCTCAGTAGAAGCTGCTATAGTTAAACACTCAACATACTCCTAAAAACCCCACAAATATATCTGCTACTATTCATCCTCTGCTGAGCTACAAGAGCGATCATGGTTTGTGAGCGGATATCTAATTTTATCCTTCTCTTTTGCTTAGATCTACTCTGTTTATTTTTTTTTTATCAAACAGGGTCACAAATACATTTTCAACTAATGCAAAATGTTTTATTTACTGTGAGTGCTATTTTTATCGTTTTGGGAGCTACCTTTGCTGGTAGCAATGCGACATCTCTCAGGACACGTCATAAAAAGCCTTCACTAGTTATCACAAGAACAAATCAGTTAGAAATGTTTGATTTCTGTGGAAAGTTTGTGCCTTTTTTTGTTTTCGGGACTTTTTATAAATCCTATTCTTCTTTTAAAGCGGTTCTTAGATAGGGTTACCCTCCAATGAATCATGAATGTTTTCTTCAAATGCTATATTATAATTTTATCTATAATGTGTTTTGTTTTTAAAGGCAAGGCCACAGAGCAAAGTTGATACCTTGCTACTCAGAAGTAGATGTTATACGATTGCAGAGAGCTTTAAAGCAAAGAAAGGCTAATATAATCAATAATAAATAATCCTGCTGTAAAATATTAGTTTAATATTCACGGATCAGAAGATGGTGTAAATTTTCTATTGTTTTTTTTTTTCAAATTATGCTGTTAGAATCAGCTGTTTTTCTTAAAAAGTTAGAGGCACATTCATATATATACATATATAACTAAGTGTTCTGCTTTTGTTTTAGCTTCTAAAACCATCTTGATCAACAATACCATGATGTTTGTGTGTTTATGTACAGTCCCTTTAAGGACCCACTCTAAGCCTATCAAGGAGGTTGAGGTCGACACTCTGGACTCTGGAATAGTCTTACGGTAGTTTAACTCTAGACCACTTTGCTATATAGAGGAGCTCAGGATCAACTAATTGAATGCAAGGGATCCAGGGTTCTGGATACTAGCCCCAAATCATTGTCCATCTAACACAATCCTTGAAAGTTGGTATGAGATGTTTGCGTGGTTGGTATATTTGTATATGACCAAACATGTCTAATTTGGTCTCATTTGTGCAATGGCTTTTCTCGCACAGGTCTTTTGGTTAATCCAGGTACATCCTCAAGGTTTTCTCCAGGCAGGTCTTCCACACAAGCCATACTCGTTGAGTCTTTTTGTTTATTGTTTGACATCAAACACATTTAGCTCATGGATTTTGATTTCCTGGGATGTCTATTATGAGTAGGGTTGGTAACTCCAAATAGCTTTGATTCCTAACAATGTTAATCTCTGTGGAATAATGAGTTTAAAATGAATTGGAAGTGTCACTAGACTCTTTTTGATATTGATGGATTGCAGCAGTTCTGTCTCTCCATATCACCGCTTCTTTTTGCTCTTTGCTATTGTTTTAACACACACCTTTATTCACCAGACTGCCAAACAGTCAAACCCACACTTTAATGGAGGTAGTCACACTTTCAAGTGATCCTTCGCACCTATGAAACAACTCCTGGCTGCTATTTTTTTTTTAAATCTTAAATAATCTGGAAACAAATACTTAGTTTTTTAATCAAGTCATGTGGAAAATGTGTATTTATAAATGTGTAGGTTAAGTCAGTTTATTAGTGCTTACTAGAAATAAATTTGACTAATTTTAACATAAAAAAACTATACAAGCCACATTCTTAAGCTCTTCTTTTGAATAAATATAATTAATCATACTACCGGTAATTACATTACAAATAATTGGAGCAGTTTTTCTGTAAGTTTTAGGAAAGTCTTGCCCTTTAGGTCAATTTTATATGCATATTTTGAATCAAAGTTTATAGTTATATTCCAGATAGAGAGCTCAAAGACTGGTCTTGTTGTAGAAACATAAATATAATTTTATTAAGCAGGCGTATAGGGGAAAAAAAAAAAACATGTACATGTACAATCTAAAAGACAACAGCCAGAGGTTTCAGAGAAAAAACAATTTCTAATTAAACTGAAGGACAGTCATTTAATTATGTTAATGTAGAGTATTTAAACCCACTCCACTTAATCTAAATTATCTTAGTTTTGTAGACTGAGAGGAAATAAAATTATTTTATCGTTGATTTTCTTTTATTTTTTCTTTTATTTTTCAGTAGCTCTGTATGCTAACACAGGCTAAAATTGGCGTGCTAGCACAGAGTGAATTATTATTAATTATTATTATTAGTTTGTGAATTGCTCTATGCTAACACAGATATTTTTGGTGCTAACAGATAGCATGGAATCATTATAATTGTGTGTTTCTTGCTGTTTGGGTAGTAAACTCTAGTTTGCTCTGTTAATTTGACATATTTATGATAGCTATGTTAGATTGCCCCTTGAAAAAGCTTGGGATTTTACTGAATTATTTACAAAAATAAATATGGTTATAGTAATGCTAAACTTGTATGTTAACAAAGCATAATGTGTGTGGAGTAGTTTTAAGTGCCTGTCTAGGTCACCTTTTTTTTTTTTTTACTTTTTATGTTATTTAACCATCACTGTACAGTCCACACTGACCAAAGATCTGGGAAAGCGTTGCAATAAATAGCAAGCATTTATTAAATGCATGTTTCACCCAATTTTTAAAGGTAGCAGTTTTATATTATGCACTGAATATCTAGCTAGCACACAGTCTGTTTTAATATGACTTCATTTTGAAAGCAAAACCTTTTAAAGAGATGTTGTCATTAATGGGAGATATGTATTTGAATTTGCATGAGCATAATTTTATGTTTGCAAATTGATTTTTGTTGTGTTAAGGTATTGGATGCTTGTGAGATTTTTTAATTATCATTATTTCTTGGTGTTTTGGGATACAATGAAAGGAAAAATGTATGGTTGATTTCTAAAAGGTTGTTTTATTTTCCTATTATTTATTTAGTTTAAAATATTTGAGAGCAATAAACATTGTTTTTTTCTTATTTCTATTTTTACTGTTATTTTATTTTGTTATCATAAAGTTTACAGCTATTATTGACATTGAACCTGTGTACGGCTGCCAAGCTTATAACTACATGTCATTGCCTTGTACTGCATTGCTGGAAAATGTAGATGTGAACATTTCCGAGAGGCAGCTGTTGCTTGGCATCCCACAGGGATGAGAGTTTGGACCGTTGCATTTTCTTTTTATGTTTCGTAATGCATAGTTTTAAAGCCTTATTTGGTTTGAAGTCAGACCTCAAACACTGGAATACTTTTTGTGGATGTGTTTCCAATTAGTTTATAAATCTTATGAAAAGTTGCCAACTTATTATGTTACGAATTGTGAATTTAGGAAATGTAAAGTTATTCATTTTTGAATAAATTACGTTCAGAATAACTTTTTTTGTCAAATTTATTCTTTTTTTTTATTTTGGAGCATATAGTCTTTATGTACATTTTTGTAAAATGTATTTGCAACGAAAATATTTATTTTTTGCTTTGTTTATGCTATTTGTAAAACTTTAATGTTATTATCAGATTATTATCAAAAACAATTCAGTAAGAAGATTCAAAAAGATAAGTTAATAAAGTAGAAAATATGTTCTCAAATAAGATTTATAAAGCTATCTAACCTTAGCCGGCTGGTGGTAAATTGATAGCATTGGGCATTTTGTCTTTTATATTACAATTGATAATAAAAACGTTTAAGCATATAAAAACCTTGAGGGGAAATACTAAATAACAAATATAATTGTTATAATAAATAACTAATAATAATTACTGAATTCATTCCAATTCAACATTATAAACCTATTTATGTTCAGACTGTAATTCAAAATAAAAATAAAACACATTTATCTTTGTGTTTGAAACAACACAAAAAGGAAAAAGTTAGAGCAGTTCTCTATTTCTCCAAGGTGACATTTTAAAGTTGTGGAACTCAAACTCTTGGAATACAAATAAATATTCTGAAGGATTAATTATATTCTAAGCTTAATTTTAAATACTCAAATTTGGCTGAAAACCAGAAACGTGTCAAATGTTCAGGAGAATATAGCTGATATATGGTGTTCGATCAGCTATTTAAAAAAACAAAACAATTTTTTATGGATTAATTTTACCATATTTTATAAGTAAGGTATGTTTTTATTTTAGAATTTAAATATGAAGCCAAAAATGGAAAAAGAAAACTCTTCACAAAAAGAAAAATAAGCCTCCTGTAATTCAATAATTAGCTTTATGATTAATATCTATACCTTCTTATGGATTTCGGGACTAATCAAAAAGACAAATGTATTAAGCAAAACTTTTTCTGTTTGAATGATTATCTGGAATGTTGCACAAGTGGCCAGAGACATCAGCTGAGCTGTTTCTAATCAGTCATTGTCCTAAGAGGTCTCGATGCGGCAACAAATAGGTGCACCACACGTCAACGCGTGTCATGTTAAAAGCATAGAATGTGCCAACCTTAAACACGATCGCTCCCAATTGTTCTCAGTTTGAGGAGGTCATGACACCCCAGCATGCTCAGGGAGAAAAAAATCAGTTAATCTCTTCACAACATTTGCGGTTATCATCCACACTTGTGGAATTATGTGTTGAATTACACAGTTTGATTTGATTTAATGGCTCCTTCTTATGTTTATTGTTAGTATTAATAGCATTACTTTTTTCAAAATGACCACAAAGAGAAGCTGCCTTTAAAGTAGCTAATAAAAGAAAAAGAGGCAGAATATCCAGTCAGCTTGCTGGGGTTTTAATAAGGATTAATGTCACAAAAACATGGGCTATGTTACAAAACTGCTCACATACAATTTGTCAGCTTTGACTCTCATGATAGCATTTAAAGGATCCAGCGTAGATAATAGCGGTCTTCTGTTGTGTGTTTCTAATCTGTTATAATGGCTGGGTCTGCTGGGCTAATTAGATAAATGACCACCTGCTCTTTCTGTCATCTATGACATCTGGTTGAACAAAAGAAAATAATTAGCCACATGCCTAATAAACAGCTACGCCCCGAACTGTTACATCTCAGATGCATGTTTACCTGTCTAGGATTGGAGTTTTGTGGCTTGGCGTGCTTTACTGCTATTTTGTGAAGCTTAGACGAGGATTAAAGTCTCAGAATTTATTATTGGATCACTAGCCATGAGGCGCATGATTATTTTGGGATATCTGTCCATGTTAGCCATGGATCCAGTAAGGATACACATTGTTTTAGTTTTCAAGCAAAGATCTTCCAAATTTGCATTTAGGATTATTCTTTCTTGCAAAAGCTAAATATTGTCTTTAAATTTGAAGTTTAGCTGTTATCATAAATGATAGCTGTTTTTTCTCCCTGTTAAAAGCAAAGGCCATAGTAGATTCTTTTCAGGCACCGCGTTCTTCCAGTTTAGAGCTCCGGATGCTGGACTTCCTGAACACTGAGGTTATTGATTGGCCTATTGATTTTCAAACACTGTGTCGTCGTAGAAAGTAGAAATCCAATTAAAAGTTGCACTTAAAAAAAATCTAATCCCATCAAGACGATGAAATGTATCGATTTCAACATTAAAATCAATAAGATGTGCGCTGCTGTCCTGCAGGGACTCCAGCATTTTCCTTTTTTTGCTCTCTTAAGGACTGAAGTGCACAGATTCTTTTTGTGTTTTAAGAAAACAATAGATTAATACTTCAGTTCACATTTATGTCCTGTAAACACACACATTTGTTCTCTTTTGTTTGGATCTTGGAGAGTTTGTGTTTCATGCTGACACTGACAGTACTGCTTAGTGAACTTTTTAATTCAACCATTTGGTCTGTATTTTGCACTGCATTAAATTTTTCTAGCATGTATGTTGAGTAAATCTTTGAGATTATGTGTGTAAATTACTCATTTGTCAGTCTGATGTGGATATCTCTGTTACAGAAATAAGAATAGATCCATCTTTACTGTGGGTTTAAAACCTGATTTTGTCATCTCAGTAGTGATGCATCTGAATAACCTTTACCTCCTCACAGCTTTTTGGACAGATGATTGTTTAAAAAATGCCCCTATAAAACTTTCCAAACACAGTGGCTAATAGAACTAAGATTCTGCAAATATTCTTATAGATATATATGAAAGTTTTTTTTTTGTTTTTTTTTGAGGATTTTTGTATGAACAAAAATGTCAATTAAACTAAAAATCACTCTTAGAGATATTAAACTCCCAAACTGTATGAACAGTGTTTCTGGCCACAAGTTAATTCCTTAATTAAAGAAACACTTTTGTGTGTTTTTGAATTCAGCCTTCTTGGTTTCTAATGTCACACATGTGAGATAATATATGCTAAGTTCATTTTTCCAAGTCCACCCACCATCGCCGTGGGGAAATCCAGCTGCCACCGAAAGGTCTCGCTGAGGAGGATTGGAATCTGGATGGAAAGAAAAACTCTTTTCAGATAGAATTCAGACAGCATTTACATGGACACGCAATGACGCTTAATTTATGGATACAAAAACAACAACACACAGCTGGTACAAACATCTAAAGATGACTGAATACCAACTTCTTTGTTGAAGCTGAGAGTTTCTGTTGATTTTTGGTGACGGACAAAAATCATTTATTGTTGCTCTGACTGATGTGATCAGGTACATGATCTGTGTGGTGACCATTCAGTGCCTAACAGAGTTTTTGTTTTTTTGTTTTTAATAAAAATTAACTTTTAACTTTTTTAACCACAAAGTTAATTTTATTTTGTGAGTGATTGAGCCTTTATGTGAGGTGGAAGATAAATATTCAATTTTCTGTCACCCCTAGCGGGGTCACGAGGGGTGCTGGTGCCTATGTCCAGCTGTCTACGGGCGAGAGGCAAGCTACACCCTGGACAGGTCGCCAGTTCATCGCAGGGCAACACAGTAACAAACAACCATTCACACACTAATTAACCTAACAGCCAAGTTTTTGGACTGTGGGAGGAAGCCGGAGTACCCGGAGAGAACCCACACATGCACAG